TAGGCTAAAGGAGATAAGAGGCTATCAGAAAATGGACTATCTCATCCATGAGATCTTTTATACAAACTTCAAGGTAACCACTAAACAAAAAACCAGAGCAGAGCCAGAATTTATTAAAAAAAAAAAAAGAGAGAGAGAAAACCTCCACAGAAAACCACAAAAATGAGATGGCAATCAGAAATATGAAGGAAGAGAAACAGTGGAAACATAAAACAACTGGAAAACAAGAGATAAAATGGCAGTATTAGGCCCTCATATATCAATACTCACTCAATGCAAATGGAATGAATTCTCCAATCAAAACACAGAGTAGCTGAATGGGTTAAAAACCAAGACCCAACAATATGCTGCCTCCAGGAAATACATCTCAGCTCTAAAGGCAAACATAGGCTCACAGTGAAGGGATAGAAATGATGCTCCAAGCAAATGGCAAACAAAAGAAAGCAGGTGTTGTTGTACTTATATCAGAAAAAGCAGACTTCAAGATAAAAAAGACAATGAGAGACAAATATGGGCAGTATACAGTGATAAAAAGGACTTCCTACCAAGACAATATAACACTTATATATGCACCTAACACAGGAGCACCAATGTTTATAAAACAACTATTAACAGACCTCAAGGGAGAGATTAACAGCCACACAGTAATAGTAGGAGACCTCAACACCCCACTTACATCATTGGGAAGATCAACCAGACAGAAAGTCAACAAGGAAATACTGGATTTAAATGAAACACTTGATCAGGTGGACTTAATGGAAATATAGAAAGCATCCCATCCAAAATCAGCAGAATACACATGCTTCTCAAGTGCATGTGGAATGTTCTAAAAGATAGACAACATGTTGGGAAACAAAGCAAGCCTCAATAAATGTAAGAAGATTGAAATCATATCAAACATCTTTTCCAACAATAAGCCTATGAAACTAGAACTCAACTACAAGAAAAAAGCTGTGAAAGTCACAAATACGTGAGTACTAAACAACATGCTACTGAAAAACCATTGGATCAGTGAATAAATAAAAGGAGAAATTAAAAAATATCTGGAGACAAATGAAAATGAAAATATAACATACCAACTGTTACGGGATGCAGCAAAAGCAGTATAAGAGGGAAATTGACACCAATACAGGCCCACCTCAAAAAACAAGAAAAATTTCAAATAAGTAATCTTAAGCCACACCTAACAGAATTAGACAAAGAAGAGCAAACAAAGCCAAAGTCAGCAGAAAGAGGGAAATAGTAAAAATTAGAACAGAAATAAATGAAATAAAGACTAAAAAAACAGTAGAAAGGATCAATGAAACTAAGAGCTGGTTCTTTGAGAAGATAAACAAAATTGAAAAACCCTTAGCCAGACTCACCAAGAAAAAAAAGAGAGAAGTGTCAATTAATAAAATTAGAAATGAAAGAGGAAAAATTACCATGGACACTGCAGAAATACAAAGGACTATGAGAGAATACTATGAAAAACTATATGCATGCAAATTGGATAACCTGGAAGAAATGGATAAATTCTTATACAACCTCCCAAAACTAAATCAAGAAGAAATAGAGAATCTGAATAGACCAATCACAAATAAAGATATCTAAACAGTAATCAAAAATCTCCCAAAAAACAAAAGTCCAGGACCAGATGGCTTCTCTGGAGAATTCTACCAAACATTCAAAGAAAGAAGATTTAATACCCATGGTTCTAAAACTATCCCAAAAAGTGGAAGAAGAAAGAATGTTTCCTAACTCATTCTATGAGGCCAATGTTACCCTGATACCAACACCAGACAAGGACAACAGAAAGAAGGAAAATTACAGGCCAATATTGCTGATGAACATAGATGCAAAAATCCTCACAAAATACTGGCAAACTGAATACAGCATTACATCAAAAGGATCATACACCATGATCAAGTGGGATTTATACCAGGGACATGAGGCATTCAACATCTGCAAATCAATCAATGTGATGCATCACATTAACAGAATGAGGAATAAAGATCACAAGATCATCTCAATAGATGCAGAGAAAGCATTTGACAAGATCCAATATTCATTTATGATAAAAACTTTTAATAAAATGGGTATAGAAAGAAAGTACCTCAACAGAGTAAAGGCCATATATGACAAACCCACAGCCAACATCATACTTAACGGTGAAAAATGAAAAGTCATCCCTCTGAGAACAGGAATAAGACAAGGGTGCCAGTATCAACATAGCACTGGAGATTTTGGCCAGAACAATTAGACAAGAAAAAGAAATAAAAAGGATCCAAATTGGAAGGAAGAAATGAAACACTCACTGTTTGCAGACTATATGATCCTATATATAGAAGGCCTAAAGCATCCATCAGAAAACTATTTGAAATAGTCAACAACTACATAAAAGTTGCAGGGTAAAATCAACTTAAAAAATCAGTTGCATTTCTATACACTAACAATGAACTAGCAGAAATAGAAGTCAAGAATGTAATCCCATTTACAATCACAACAAAAAGAATAAAATATCTAGGAATAAATTTAACCAAGGAGGTGAAAGACCTATACACTCAAAACTATAAGACCTTACTGAAAAGAAATTGAAGAAGATATAAAGAAATAGAATGATATTCCATGCTCATGGATTGGAAGAATAAACATAGTTAAAATGTCTGTACTGCCTAAAGCAATCTACAGATTAAATGCAATCTCAATCAGAATCCCAATGACATTCTTCACAGAAATAGAACAAAGAATCCCAAAATTCACATGGAACAAAAATGACCCCAAATAGCCAAAGCAATCCTGAGAAAAAAGCGCTGTTTGAGGGCATATAACCACTCTGTACATCCCACTGCTCCGGTGCCCTTCCTTCCTTGGGGAAGGAAGACCCCAGGCTATGGCTCTCACACTTTGGCTCAGAATTAACCCAAATTTTCATTTATAGATTGGTTATGGATTATTGGAATCAAGGCACATATATATGGTGACGGGTAAAAATTAGACTATTGGTGATGAGTATGATGCAGTTTATACAGAAACTGATGAATAACAATGTGCACCTGAAACTTCACAATGTTATAAGCCATTATGACTTCAATTTAAAAAAATCACACTCGGCTCAAGTCTATAGTCAGAAATGCAAATTAAAACAGCAAAGTGACACCACTTTACATCTTTCAGTTCAGGAAAAATTAGGAAGTGATTGACAGAGGTTAGACTGGTGCTGCCACTGTGGAGAGCAATTTTTCAGGATTTAGGGGCATAGAGGAGCCACCTGTCCTATGATTCAGCTAGCCACCCAGCATGTATCCCCTGGAGAACGCCTCCCGTGGCTGCACAGAGACACACAGGAGGATGCTTCTCACAGTACTGTCTGCTGTAGAGAATCACTGGAGGTGACTTAGAAATCAATTCATCGGTGGAGAAGAGAGGAGAAAAACAGATTCTGTTGGGTCATGAGTACATATGGAGCCATTATCTATTATCAAGTTTTGTATACATTTAAACATTTTCATAATGAAAAGCTTTTATGAAGTTGTGTGGAAAAAGCAAGGAAATCCGAGTGTGCTCCATGGCACGGCTATCAGCAGCACTTGCACAGTCATGATAACGGAAAGCCTGAATTATTGTCAGACCTAAATTGCAAATAACCCCATGGGAAGATGAAGGGAGAAAAAGCAGGGTCGTTTGGGATGACGAATAAATGAAAAGCAATAAGATGTCTTGGAGTATATGAGGAAGCCATTTGTTTTAAAACTCACTTGGCCTGACCTTATTTTTCCAGAAAGGCCTAACATAGCCTGTTGAGTATGCATTGTACATCTGCTTTAAACCTTCACAATGTCCCAAAGTGGGGAATGATGCCCTTAAAGAAAGGGGTTTTGCCTCCCCACGTATCAGCATTTCTTTATAGATAAGCATTTCTTCCCAGAAACCAAGGATTAATTACTGGCCTGCTGTGTTTATCTTGTGACCACTGACCTGCTGTGATAGCAAAGCATGTTGTGACTGTAGTGAAAGGGATATTCCTGTCATATTTGATGTATGTTCCTTGTTCCAAGACAGTATATAACCACTCTGTACACCCCACTTCTTAGAGTGTTTCCTGGGGAAGGAAGCTCCTGGGCTATAGTCCTCATAACTGGCTCATATAATAAACTCACCCAAATTTTGATTTATAGATTGATTATGGATTATTTGTGTCAACAGGGTTGAGGCAGAAAGCTAAACATTCATATTCCTTGGTAGGAAATTGATAGATAATGCCTTGAAATGAAGAGCCCACATCAGCGTGTCATGGAGATCTGCAGGGAGCCATACACAGCATTCATTAAGAGAAGTGAAGGTGGCTGGGAAATGGAGGTGAGGACAGCCAGAAGCTGGCTGGTTTGGGAAGCAAGCCTGAATAACTAGCTGATTCCTTAAAATATGGACACTGTCGCCACCAGAGGAGTCTACCACGGCAAGGACACTATCTGCTACATAATGACTTACGTTTGGAAAATTCCTCCAGCCCTAAGTTTCAGACACAGGATGGAAGGGCTTGTTTTGTTTTAAGGAACATATATTGTCTTGCTAAGCACCACCAAAACAGCTACAGAAGGACAGGGAGTTACAGCAGCTGAGGGGAGAGAGTAGAAACTGCCTGATGTACCCCCACCCTGACCCTTCCTTGGCCCCTTCTGCTTAACCTTCATACTCCCACTGATCCGCATTAGAAGAAGGACTTTCCCACCCACTGAAGAAGAGGCAAGAGGGCCCAGGCAGCAGCCTGAGCCCATGCTACTTCCTCTGTACCGTATGAGCTGCTCTTCTCAGTGGCTGATCACAGGATAGTCCTGTGGGTGGGCCAAACTGGAGATCACCCATGAGACAGGACATACTCACAGGGACTGTGGTTCCACTGAGGACTCTGGTCCATCCCTGGCAGGAGGGAAATGAGCAGATGTTTCCTCCTTCTGCACTTACTTTGAGCACGGAGAAGGGAACCTGGTCCCTGGGTCATAGTTGCCCTTGTGACATCACGGCTATCTCTTCCTCCACTGCCCTTCCTGCCTCTGCTAGGCCAATGGAGCTAGGACCAGGAGGGGTGTGAACACCTAAACCACTGCCCTGAAACCATGGGCAGTAATTGCAGTGTAAGACTTAGACACCTCCTCCCCAGGGGTGGGGTGTTGCCCCATGGAAGAGGGAAGCACCAGACAACTTCAAAGGACCCAGGGAAAGAATGCGGGGCTGGGGCTGTGGGGACTTTACACAGAGGCTGGTCCTCACTCATGGTTTCTCTCTACATTCTGATTGCAGAAGTCTGATCCAGATTATGATGCACTAGAGAAAGAAAGGCAAAAGGTAGGTGGTGCCCAGGAGCATGAGAGAACCACAAAGCATTGACCCTCTGACCCCATTGTCCTTCGAAATGGGGGATCTATCTCTAGTCCCTCAGGAGTCAGCTCAGTGTTGCTTTCCTCTCCCCATAAATTCCCTCCCTATTCTGGGTGATCTGTGTTAAGTAAGGAGAGAATAATAGAGAGGTGAGGAGTCAGGATGCAAACAGGCCACATGGAAGTTGGAGCACAGCAGAGTGGGAATTGGAAAGCTGGAGAAGGGGCAGCTGGACCTAGAAGAATATAGGGGCGATTGAGAAATAGTAGTGAAAGTCAAACAAGTGAGGTGAGGGGAAAACCCCAAGGGGCTATGGCACAACGTGAGGCATCAGAAGGCAGCATCACAGGCTTTTGGGCTGAGATGCAAGCCATAAATGCAGAGGTTCGTCCTCATCCTTCTCACACACATGCCACGTCTTCTGGATCAGGAAGTGTTTCCACTGGTCCCATGAGCCTGTGAAGACCACAGGGCAAGCACATCCCCATTTTATAGACAAGGGCACTGTAATTCAGAGGGTAGGGAAATGTGTCCATGGCCACAGACAGGACAGAAGTGGAGGCAAAACCCAACCAGGTCTCCTGGGTTCTCAGAACCATCAGGGGAAAGGCTGATTGTTAAGAGAGAAGATCAGAGCTCTTTTGTGGCAGACACCAGAGCTGTGGTTGATGGTGACAAATTCACTGAGAGTTTTCTGCTTTGCTTGGTTAGCTGCTTCTTGCAAAACAACGCCAGAGAGCAAGAGCCAATGCAGCTGGGAAGATCCAGGCCTGGTGGCGTGGCACCCTGGTGCGTAGAACGCTACTGGTAGCTGCCCTCAGGGCCTGGATGATTCAGATCTGGTGGAGAACGCTCACGTGGAGGTGTGTGCGTAAGCATCATCAGGCCCTGTTGAAGACCTATATAATCCAGGAGCAGGCGGCGGTCAAGCTCCAGTCCTGGGTTCGCATGTGGCAGTGCCATCAACGTTACTGCCAAATGTCCAACGCTGTCTGCATACTCCAGGCTCCAAATTGCTGCTTCGACTTCCAGACCAATGATGTTTTACAACCACAATACAAAGGCACTTCCAACCAGTTGGAGTTCCACATTGAAATCCTATCAGTCTAAAAGCACTACGGGGTGGAGAACTGGCTCCACTGCCCCAATAAATGTCTGACCAGGTCTTATGTGTCTCAGTAACTCATGGGGACCCCAAGGATTCAGGCCCTGCCCCTCCTCTTCCACTTGGGGAGAAACTTCAATACAGGTGCCTCCCCTGCACCGCTCCGTGCTATGGCCCCTGTTCTGGACTGACAGTGGCCATATGTCGCTGACTCTATCCAAATCAGAAACTGCTGCCTGAGGCTGTCCTCATATATGCAAAGCCAGGTGTCCCATTCCCCAGCCCCAGCACCATTCTTGTCTCCTGAACTTGCAATTGGGAGGGGCTGGGCTTTATATTCCTGAAGACTGTGGGCACCTCCTCTTATGAGAGTTGCCTCTGAGGCCAAGCTCTGTCAGCTTGCCATCAGGGGCCAGCTGGGGCTTCCACCCATTTGCTTCCTATTTGGCAAGCCCCAAACAGAAGTCAGGCACTTGTCTGGCTCTCCTGGGAGCAGTGCAGCCCAGAGAAAGCACAGGAGGCTGGCCTTAGTGATGACTGGACACAAAGTTCTGCGAGCTCCATGCTAACTAGGATGCTATTTTCTTTAGGAAATAGCAGATATTATGATTTTAAGGAACCTCAGCCCTGCCTCCTCAGGAGCAGCTTCTCCAAGGTGCTGAACACAAATAGGGCTCCCATTGATATCACCTCCTCCTTATGAATGACACAATTTTTAGTGACTTCAACATTGACTGGTTGATGCCCCCAAGTGCCTTGTCTCTCACTTCCAGAGGTTTTGACTTCCATCCTATCTTAGTAACCCTCTCCTATGGTAGAACTATAGACCATTGCTTCTTGAGCTGTCTGTGGGGAATGACTTTTTTTTCCAGGGACCAGTCTATTATAGAGCAATTCTTTTGTAAAACAATAAAAATAAGTTATGAGAAAAATAAATGGAAAAAGCATACAGAATTTAAAGTTTGTTTTTAATTATTAGATTGAGCATACATAAAATTACTATTTCATTTTTCTGTTTTGAGGAAGATTAGCCTTGAGCTAACATCTGCTGCCAATCTTCCTCTTTTTGCTGAGGAAGACTGGCCCTGAGCTAACATCCGTGCCCATCTTCCTCTACTTTATATGTGGGACGCCTACCACAGAATGGCTTGCCAAGCGGTGTCATGTCCACACCTGGGATCCGGACCAGCGAACCCCAGGCCACCAAAGTGGAACGTGCACACTTAGCCGCTGTGCCACCGGGCCGGCACTACTATTTCAACTTGCTATAAAAGTTTCTAATTGCTCACTCTCAACCTCTGTACTTATCTCAGAGGCCAATGCACTTTGGGTGGCATTGCCCTAGTCCTTGTCATCACTCATAACTGACCATAGCAACAATATTAATTTCAATCATCCTAGTCTCTGACTTTGCCTTCTATCCTTTAGGGCAGAGGTCAGAAAACTATGGCCTGCGGTTGAGTAGTCATGACAGAGACTGTAGGGATATCAAGCCTAAGATACTATGGCCATTTACAGAAAAACTTTGTCAACCCTTGTGTTAGAGTCACTGATTCTTATGCATCAATCCAATGTTTTTTCAGTCCTAATTAGGACCTCCTGAGGACTGACCTTACCAATGGTTTAATGTCCTTCATGCCATCATGTTGTCATCCCTTGTCCTCAGCTAAGATTCATTGTCTGTTGAGCATTCTCTTACAGTTTTACCCCCACTGGACCTCTCTCTCTCCACCTTTGGATGAACCCAATCCTTCACCTACTTCATCCTGCACCAGAAAAGCTGAGCTTCCCTGAAGAAAAATATCTACTTTGCATGGCTTTGGTTTATATTGAGGATCTGCTGGAAAAAACTTCTCAAAACACTTTTCTGTAAGTTTGCTTTTTGACCTGAACATTTCACATTATTTCCTCTCTTTTCAAATGGGCAATTCTCCCTCTTTTCCTCTTGACCTCAAATGATGATGTCACCACACACTTAACCAAGGAAATGGCAGCAGACTGGACCCCCGTCTTCCTACCATCTCATCCTCCATCTCAGCATCATTTGCACCACATTTGTTGCCTTACTCAAGTTAAAATAAATTGTCTTTGCCCTATTTGAGGCCACCCCTTCCACTTTGCTCATCTTGTACTCTTCTTTTTCTTTTGCCCGCTATCACCTCTTGCCTTTATAATGACATCATCCTGTAATTTCATTTGTTTCTCTAAATCAGTTTCTATCTTTTCACCAAATCATTCCCATTGGCATACAAAGTGTCCCCCATCATTAAAAAGTCCATCCTTGACTACCTCCTATTCCAGTTCTTTGAATCTCCTCATAGCAAAACATGTTGTCACTGTCTCGCTTCCACTCCTCCCATTCTCTCCTAAACTCACTCCAGTTGGGCCTCCCTTCCCCCCAATTCCACAGAAACTATACTGGTCAAGGGTATTGATTGAGAGAGACTGTTTGAAAAAATGACCAAAATTTCTTCCTTTTTTGTATCCATGCTACTTTGCAATGTGACTTTGTAGCTCCATTGATCAAGTGATGAAGGCTACTTAACCTCTTCCTGCATCTAGACTTCCTGTGACTTTCTTTGGCCAATAGTATACAGTGGAAGTGATATTGTGCCAGTTGCAAAGCTAGACTTCAAAAGATCTTGCACAGCCATCTACCATGTGAAGAAGGAGACTATTGCTGTAGAGTGAGAGACTACATGGAGCAGAGATGTGCCATCTCTGATGAGACCATCTTACACAACCAGCCCCCAGCTCACCTGCTAGCTAACCACGTATATTTGAGTGGGCCTAGCTAAGAACAGAAGAATCACCCAGATAAGCCTAGCCCAAATTGTCACTCCACAAAACTGTGAGCTCAATAAATGGTTGTTTTTTTAAGCCTGTATGTGTTGGGTGGTTTGTTAAACAACAAACGCTAATACCATATAAAATCACCAACTAACTTGCATAGTCCAATGGTCAATTCTCTGTCCTCTGCCCTATCATTTGTCATCTTCTCTGCATCAAACTACAGAGTTAACCACTCTCTCCTATTTGAACACTCTCCTTTTGGCTTCAGGAACACCACACTCTCCTGTTTTTCCTCTTTCTTCACTGGCTGCTCTTAATCTTATCAATGGCTTCTCCATTGATCAGCCTCTAATCTATGAGGTGCTCAATCCCAAAACTTCTTTTAGTCTCTTTCTATGTTTACTCTCAGATAGTATCATCCAGTCACATGGTTTTAAATACCTGCTGCATCTTGATGCCACTCAACTCTATATCTCCATCCCTGATGCCTCCTCTGAATTTCATACCTCAAAGTACAACTTCCCACTTGATATCTTACTCGGATGCCCAGTAGGTTTTTCAAACATCATGTGACAAAAACTGGACTTCTCATTCCCCAAGCCTCATGCTTCTGTCCAAAACTTGCTTTTCCTTGTGCCTTGACCATTCACCCAATCTGTTTGCTTCAAATTTTTCTCAGAATCCTCCCTTTTACTTAGCTCTACACATTCCCTCCCACATCAATCCAACAGCAAACAATGTTGGCTTCATCTCTGCAATACAGCAATATCTGCAATATAGCATATAGTGAGGATTGGAGAAACTGGATGTCTCACAGATTGCTGGTAGGAATGTAAAATGGAGTAGTTGCTATGGAAAACAGTTTGGTGATCTCTCAAAAAATTAAATATAGAATTACCACATGACTCAGCAATTCTAGTCCTAGGTATATACCCAAGAGAGTTGAAAGCATATGTTCAAACTAAAACTTGTACAAAGATTTCATAGTAGAATAATAGCCAAAAATGTGGAAATAACCCAGATAGGTGAATGGCTGAACAAATTGCGGTACATCCATACCATGGACTACTTCAGCAGTAAAAAGGAATGAATTAATGAGACATGCAACAATTTGTGTGGATCTCAAGGAAGAGTAAAGACTCAAAAGCAACGGACCTATCTAGATCCTAGCTATGGGAAATTTAGGGGGTTGAAGACCTGAGGGGATTCAAATCATCTATTTCCAAGTCATGGGCATTCAATGCTGTGTAAGAGAGAGCAAGTCCTCTCAAAGTTGCAGGCAAGGAAGATGAATTTCCATAGTTAATTCAGGATGTGAGTTCTACATCTAGGGTCTCTGGGCAAGCCAGGAGATTGAGTATGTGGTAGATTTGGCACAGAGTTGTACAGAGAACAACCTACCCATACCTTTCCCCTCTAAACTCTGATTACAGAAGCATGGCCAGTTGGATGAAATCAAAAAGAAAGATGTTGATGAAGCCAAATTGATGAAAAAGAAAGTGAAGGAGAAAAAAATAGAGAAAGAGGAGCCTCCACCTCCACCAAAGATAGGTTTATGGAGGCCCTCAAAGTTGAGAGAGATCCCAACCTGCAACGTCTGTGACCCAAGTCACGCAGGAGTGATGGGTCGTCTACTCTGTGGCCCATAGCATGGGATGATCATGGAATTTGTCATCCAAGACAGGATACATTTGTGAGTGAAAGACAGTGCAATGAATTATTACTTGGGAACAATAATCATAAACCGAGAATGTCCCAGGGCAATCAGAATGAATGGCTGCCCTATCCAGAACTGGAATGAATGGGGATTGACTCATCTCTGGCTCTCCTTTTCTCCTAGTTCCTTCTTCGTCTGAGAAAGGTGGGTGACTGAGACATGGAGACTTGGTTGTAGGGAGAAATCTGACTAGTAGGAGTCAGAATATGCAAAGTTGGGGAGAGGTGTGGTGAGGGTTGTGTTTGGTGAACGCATTGCCAAGTATATAGGGAAACCCAAGTCTAGAATTGTGTGGGAGTGTGTGTGCACAATGCATGCATGAATGTGTGCTAACTGAAGTTTAAGAGGAAAGAACCAAAAGAAGGGAAAGTGAGAAATAAATGAGAAAGATTCTGAACTGTGTGGAGCAGAGAAACTTCCAATACCAGAATCTACAGAGGGAGACAGTAGGTTGTGGATTGGAGCTGGAGTCAGGCATGAAAGGCAAGCAAAGGATGCCACTTCTCCAGCCTGTAGGAGGGGTTTGAAGGGAAAGGATATGCATCCCAGGTAGGTGGTCAGGCCCAGGTGGAACATGACAACCCTTTGACCCACAGATCATGGTGTTCTTGTTCTAGACTGGTCAACCAGGTCCATGTAACCTGGCGATAGCTAAGACAGGTGAGCCCCATGTTTCAGATGAGGACCCCGAGACTCAGAAAGCAACATGAACCAAGTCCATTAAGCAGAGAGTGGCAGAGACAGGATGCTTATCTGGTCTTCTGATCCACTCAATGCCCCTGCCCAGTGCTCCTGAACTTCTGAAAAGGGGCCATTGTTGATAATGGATCAGGACTCGTTGCTGACACACCCTGGGTCGGAGACGGGTGGGGAAAATTTCCTGTGTGTCCCTTCTTTTTCTTAGAAACCCCGTCCCCCAGAGATGAAGAAGCCTCCTGACAATGAGCCAATAGCCATAAAGATCCAGGCCTGGTGGCGGGGCGCCCTGGTGCGCCGGACCCTGCTGCACGCGGTGCTCAGAGCTTCGATCATTCAGCGGTGGTGGAGGCAGACGATAGCGAAATTGCTGGAAAAGAGGCGGCGGGCGGCCCTACTGTGCCATGCGCTGCAAGCACAGGCAGCAGTCAAGTTGCAGTCCTGGGTTCGCATGTGGCGCATCCACCTTCGTTACTGCCGTTTGCTTCACGCTGCCCGCATCATCCAGATTTACTGGCGTTGCCATAGTTGCCATACTCGTGGCTTTTTCCATGGTAGCTATGAACTCACTGCAAGCCAGCTGGAACTCGAGCTTGAGATCCTTCTAGGGTCACAGATTTGTCGCATTACAGACTGCATCCCCTTCCCAATAAAGAACTGATCAGGTCTGCTCCAGCCCTGTGTCAGCATGATCTCAGACAAGTTCCATGAGGTCCTTGTCTCAGCGAAGGGTCGGGGAAAATGACAGATACTGAGCATCTCACAGGTCAGGTCTGAGGAAGCAGCAGGGGTAGTCTGGGGTCCGGTGTGGAGAAGCATTCTGAGATCCCCGTGTTGAATGAGCAGGGCCTGTGATTGATTAGCCATGTCTGCCCTGGGTAAGAGAGTTGGGGATGCCAACTCTCTCAGCTCTTGGGGTTGCAAGGCCGCCAAGTCAGCCAACTTCAGGGAGAAGCCTTCAAGCATGGTCAATGTAAATGGTGCCCCCTGTAGTTGGGCAACATGGAGGCCTGTGTCATAGATGCTCTTAATGCTTCAGTGACTTCCCATTTAATTAGAAGATTTGAAAAGCCCTCCCCAGGTCTACATAAGTCTGGGTGGTCTGGCCCTGGGCATCGCATCCTCCCAGTCCTCCTGACTGCTCTGCTGTTATCAGACATCCCCAGCACGCTCCCATCTCAGCACTTTGCACCTGCTGCCTCCTCGCCTTGGATTGTCTTCTTCCAGATGGAGCTCTCACTCCATTCAGGTTTGTCTCTGCTCCAGGCTCCCTTCTCAGGGAGGCCTTCTTTGACCGTCTCATTGAAATAGCTTTCCCTCCCCACTACTGCATGCTCTGGCTCCTGACTCTGCTGTTTTCAAAGTCTTCATCCCTGCCCGGTTATCTGCCCTCAATTTCTATTTTCTGCTCCCCTTACTGGAGGGTGAGCTCCAGGAGAGCAGGGACTCTGGGTTCAGTGCTGTGTTCCCAGGACCCAGAACAGTAGATTCTCTCTTTCTCTTTTTCAACACGTTATTGTGTACAGTTTTTATTTTCTGTGTATTATGATGTTTTGACATCTTAAAAACAAAATCCCTTTCTGGCTTGGGAGAGGCTGTCCTTTCCCATAAAGACTAAGCCAATTCTTAGTCTTAGTCCTGAATCAAAGGACGCAGCCTGGTGCATGCCGTGGATTTGAAGACTAACCGATCTGGAGCCACACCCCCTCTCTCGGGCCTGTACACCTCAGGAGGCAATACTCGGCTGCCCTAATCGTTCCAGGACCAGGTGCCTGGCATCTGGGGACCACCCCTCTAGCTTAGAGCTCACCGAAATTACTCAAACTAGCCAATCCTAAACTGTTCACCCTGCCCTGCCTTGCCTTTCCCACTCCAGTAACGGCCATGGCAAAAGCTCTTTTCTCACTCCTGTCTTCTGCCAACTGACCAAAACCTGATGCTTCCCCTGTGACCCTGCGTGACACGCGGTGACCTCCTCTCTAGGACCTATGAGTGTAATAAACTTTGTTTTCTTGTGTCTCTCCTATTCTCTTGTGGCCACACCTGACTGACCATCACATAAAAGAACACGAGACATATATATGGTAAGTGAAATTCACATAACCGTGTTTAGATTTACCACATACTGGTAAGCATTAACATAAGGGTATCAATTCAGTAGCATTTAGTACATTCACGGTGTTAAGCAACCACTATCATTTATATCAAGTTCTAAAACATTTTTATCATCCTAAAAGACAACTCCATTCCCATTACCCAATCACTCTCAGTAACCACTCCTCCAGCCATTGGCTACCACCAATCTGCATTCTGTCTCCATGAATTTGCCTAGTGTGGACTTTTCTTATCAATGGAATCATACAGTATTTTGTGTCTGGTTTCTTTCACTTCTCATGATGGTTTCAAGGGTCATTCACATCGCAGCATGCATCAGTACTTCGTTGCTTTTTATACCTGAATAATATATCCTTGTACGGAAATGCCACTTTTTGTTTATCCACTCATATGTTGATAGACATTTGGATTGTTGGCACCTTTTGGCTGTTGTGAATAATGATGCTATGAATATTTAGCGGTTACACCGTTTTACATTCTCACCAACAAGGTACAAGTGTTCAAACTTTTATATATCCTTGCCAACATTTGTTATTTACTATTTTTAAAAATTCTAGCCAACTTAGTAGGTGGGAAGGGGTATCTCAATTGCAGTTTTATGTGCATTTCCCTGAAGACAAATAATGTGGGCATCTTTATGTACTTGTTAGTCATTTGTATATCTCTTTGGAGAAAAGTCTACATAAGTTTTCAAAAATTTTAAAATTGAGTTGTCATCTTTTTATTGTTTCAACAAATAGTTATGTAGTGAATATACACAATTCTATCCAGGCCTTGGATTTCTGATTTCACTGTGGTTCAAATCCTACTCCTTAGAAACAGCTGTCCCACTATCCCTGAGTGAATCTCTCATACAACCATCCCAGATCCCTCATACCCAATAGATATGTTGTTCTCAGCCTCTTTGAATTATTATTTCTCTCTGGCAATGCTTCCATGTGCGTGTGTGTATGTGCATGTACTGGGTAGTGGAAGGAAGCTCTATTTTTGTCTCTCCATTTCGTCTTTGTGGACTGCTATCCATGGCTTTTGGTCTTTATCTCTGTCTCTCTGTCACTGTTTCTGTCTATCTCTCATAATTTTGCCTTTCACCATGTCTATAACTATCTCTTTATGTTCCTCAGTGTCTTTCTCCCTCAGTCTCTGCTCCCCTCTATCTATACATCTTATAATGTCATGTCTCCTTCTATCTCTTTCTCTGATTCACTGGGTTATGGGAGCTTTAAATTGCTGGCAGAGATCATTAAAATTTAACCTGCCAATCCTCAGACACAGCTCTGCTCTTCTAAACCCTGATTACCCCTTATCCCTAATAGCTCCACAAAGATGGGCTGGAGAAGCCCCACAGAAGGCCCACGTGAATGCTCCTGGGTAACGGAGGCACTTAATTAACCCAAGCTCAGCCTAGGGTGTGCAACTGCTTAGAGGAATATCAGAATCTTTATACATATGGCCAAAGTGATTGGTTCAGGGATGAGCACAAGATACAAGCCAGGTCAGTGAGACTCAGTTCTGGCACTGTGTTGGAACTACTGGGATTTCTAACCATAAGGATTATGAAAACAGAGCTGCTGGGGGACATGACACGGAAATAGCTTTCAGAGAATGGAAACAACACAGGAGAAAATAGAGCCAAAAGAGAGAAAGAGAGAGACTAAGTCTTAAGGATTCTTTTGGGCCTCTGGATCCAGCCATACCTGAAGCTACCACTAGCTATACAATGGGAATTCCTAGTTTTAAAAGCCAATAAACCCCCATTTTCACTTAAGTCAGTTTGCTAAGGCAGATAGCAAAAAAGTAGGAGACTTCAACAAAGTAATAAACACTTTAAAGAGATTGAATTTAACGTGAGCTGCTTTTCAGGAAGTGATTTTCAAAAATGGGTTTTGAATTGGAAACTTGACAGAAAGGGTGCCTATGGAATTCTTGACAATAAATATGGATGTGTCTCTCATTTAATGCACCCAGGAGACCAGAACATTCTTGTAATCCTGTGTAGTGTGGTGAAAAGGGAAAATCCTGTGGATTAATGAGTAAATCAGCTAATTGCCTAGATTCAGAATGGCCTGAGTGTGAACCTAATCATGGATTGGTCATCTATGAGCCAAATGTGGAGTTTTATAATTTGCCTAGTTCAACAAGTCAGCAGGAAGGAGCCATGGGCAATCATCAGCCATTCATGAAACCACTGCATTAGGAATAGGTGAACTGGTCAGGTCTTCTCTTGCCCTCTACTCCACTTATACAAAGCATATGTGTGGCAGCCTTCACTTCAAAGATAACCTCTGAGCTCTGCCTCCTAAGGAAAGTGGGCAACTTTCCCATGGAGAGATTCTATTGTGCATGTTGGAAGTAAGAGAGAAATAGTTAGAGCAAAGCTTTTCAAGCTTTAGCATACATCACAATCATGTGGAGGGCTCATTAAAGCAGATTACTGGGCCCCATCCAGCATTTCTGCTTCAGTACATCAGGGTCCCAAGAATGTGTATTTCTAGCAAGTGTCCAGGTGATGCTGTGGCAACTGTTCTTGGGCACCCTACTGAGTTAGAAAAACCTACATTTCTTTCCCTCCTGAGGAGGGAAAAGCCCAGTTTCTCCTTCTTATGAATTTTTCTCTCAGGTATCTCCTTTACTACTCCTAGAAAACACTTCATTTCTGACACTTCTAGAAAACTCCATTTTCAGTCCTTTTTCCTTCTCAGGAGAATGGAGGATGGGGCTGAAAATTCCAAGCTTCTAATATGGCTTTGTCTTTCTGGTGACCAGTCCTCATCCAAGATCCATCCAGGAGTCCACAGAGAGTCACTTCATTATAACAAAAGAGACTCCAGAAAATTACAAGGATTTCAGGAGCCCTTTGTCAGGATCCAGGATCAAAGACCAAATATTAGAACAAAAGATGCTTTTAGTGCTTTAATCATGTAGGAACTTACAAGAGTAGGGTATTGGAATTGGCCACCCCAAGATATGTCTCTTCGACATGAGGATTATTTTGGGCTGATTACTTCTAAAAACTGCAGACATGAGAGAAACTCTGAAAAGTAGAAGTTACCCTTTGTAAGAGACATTTACATTTGTAAGGGAAATCTCCATCCGTAAAGGTGTCTCCCTCTCTGTGCCAGGAAGAATGGGAGATGACCTCATCTCTAGAAACTCTTATCAGTGCAGAAGGCAAGGACTCAAATCTGCATAATACCCTTACTCTTGCTTACTCTACTTGTCTGGTAATCTCCCATAACTGACTTCTCCCACCCCTAACATCCTCCTTTGTCTTTAGCTCAGGATGGTATTTAAGATGAGAACCTCCACCATTTTGGAGAGTTACTCAGTTTTCCTGAGTCTCTCCCATGTATACATGTTGTAAAGCTTGGTTTAATTTTCTCCTGTTATTCTATCTCACGTGAATTTAATTGATAGCCTGGCCAGAAGGACCTAGAGTGGGTAGAGGAAATGTCTTCCTCCCCTACACAAGGGTTTCAGGAGCTCTGTGCCAGGAACTGGGGGCAGAGAACAATATATATTTTTTGTTATCTCACAAGTCTGGATTATCTTGGTGGTTA